ACAACCTGAATGTAAGGTGGAAAAGCATCATCGATAAGAATGGAGACTATTCATTTAATAAATGTTTTGATATATAAGTTGTTCGGTTTTTCATGTAAAAAAGACGACATTAATTTATAGACGACCTAATATATATAATATAGTTAAACTGCATCTAGCAGTAACATTATAAACAACAATAAAAAAGTCATGTATCACGAAGGAAATGTTTATACATCACTAAACACTCTTACCCATACCGAAAAAGGAAATGATTCAATTCTTTTCCGGATGGGCTCATGTAAAGAGGGAAATCTGGTTCCGATTTCAGCGCTACACAATAAGTAAAGCATAATGTCGTATTGTAAGTAAATTACAAGCGAAATAAAATAAAATGGGATTACACTGCTTTATTCCTTTTGTGTTTTAACAAATGATTGTTGTCCTCATTCTTTTCTAAATTTGACTTGCAATAGGCACCAGCATTGTGACTCGAAGATGAATAAAAATCTAATGAAATAACCATTAAATATTTTGAATAGGATGGGATTTAAAGAAAGTTGTCCCAAAATGAACAAGGTCTAACTACAAGCCGATTCAAACCAAAGCCCTGAGATATTTTGCAACAAACAAGCCTTTAGCATGACACATAAATCCCACAATCCTACTGTCAGTTTTTTTTAACCCAACAGGCTTTCATTTATCCCATCATGCACTTGTTTCAGGATACCAACTCTGCTACCATCTGTAGGGCGTAATAACGTCGATCACCTTTGGACTCCCTTTCAGTTTTTGTGTGTGTGTGTGTGTGTGTGTGTGTACTAAAAGTTAGGGGAAGAGACTTCAGCTAACAAGTTCGATGTTCTATCCATAAGTAATCTAGAAGAAGGCCTAACAATTTTGAAATGAAGTCAAAACGAAAATTTATAAATCATTGGTTTAAGTTATTCAGTTGGGAGCATGGAAAGATGTAGGGTATGGTGCACAAGTCCAATATAAACTTTCTAAGCCAAATCCTATGAAATTCTTTTACTGCTTTCTTGTAGCTCAACTATGAGGCTGCACCCGGAAGACGTACCCTGGGTTCGAATATAGGTGAAGTATTTTAACCATTCAAATAGTTCTAAAAGAGTGCACTGCTTATTTATTCTCCCAAATTTCGTGAAAGAAATATAATATAATAGAGTATAATAATAACAAGACACATATCTTTGTACTGCATAAATAACGTGTAAGGTGTTTTGACATTATTCGTTGAAGTTGAATAAAATGCAGAATGAGATCCGACAATGTTACAAATGACGAACATTACGTACCATGATATGTGCATATACTAAAATATGCATTGACTGATCTTGTTGTAACTCCCCCTCCCATATAACACTAAAATCCGGGGTTCAATCCCCCGCGGTGGACAGAGCGCAGACAGCCTACTTTAAAGCTTTGTGCTAAAAACAAAAATATTGTTTCGTCACGGGCGAGTTTGTTTATTTGTAAGTTAAGCACAAAGCTACACAATGGGCTATCTGTGCTCTGCCCACCACGGGTATCGAAACCCGGATTCTAGCGTTGTAAGTCCGCAAACATACCGCTGTGCCACTGAGAGGCGTCAAAGGCAAAAATCTTAATACTGACTAAATAAAATTATATTTATCGTAACAGAATAATCTCGTGTACATTCAGCCGGATATTAATTTTTTTTTATAAAGTTTTGAGCCCTGGGGAAAAAGCCAGTACATACAATAACTCTTCGTTTATCATTTTATCTTAAATCGTGAAGACTAAATTGCAAAATACGAATTTCTTTAAACATTTAGCAATATTTTAGTTCAGTAGTTTTATTACGCAGAACTTTGAAAGACGTATTTGTGTTTTTAATAATAATTCATTTTTTTAAACCTTACAGAAAAAGACCTGTGAAAGTTTGCTTAAATTATTGGGGAAATGAACGTCATTAAGAAAACAGTTCTGTTTTCAATTTGTTCAAGTTCGCTAGAATTAAAAGTACGCTTCGCGAAGGATTAGAATTGTTTTAAATTTATGTTAGACGAACCTAAAATCAGCTGGGAGAGACCGTGAACTTGGTGACGACGATGTGTTTCCGTAGAAACAGTTTACTCATATCAATTATCCTCACTAGTTCCACTACCGTAAAATGGAAGCATTGTGGAAAGGCCACTTCAAGTTATGCCCTGCCCTCTACCGGAAAATTGCTTTCTGAAGCAAGTCACTGGAACGAATAGTCGTTTCCCGAATGTATAGTTTACGACTTGTCCTACCAAAGGGACAACTACTAGGGTAATTTGTTACATGATCATCTTTATTAAAGCCAAAAATTCCAAAACAAGGAAGTATCTCCCACTCAAGATGAAACTTTGAACTTTTTATTTGTTTTACCACAAATTCTTAAGCAACGGACTTCTTTTTTTTTCGGATTAAGCAATGTATACAGTCGTAAACACGCAAGCAGGCAGTATGAAATTCGACGATCTTCACAAACTTATTTGTAAATGTAGCACGTTTACTCAATATATACGTCATTATATGTACTGTCATTATTATCTTATTCATGTCTTTATCAAATCGGCTTAATTAATTTCAATTTAAGAATTTAAAGAACAGTAAGATGAGAAATCTTTTACATATATAATATAATCTCTCGCCCACCATCAGTTATGATAAAACGTTGACTTATCACGGCACATTAACGATACTAATGAACGACCAACAAATGAAATTTGGTTACGTGACCAGAATGGCATTATTAACTTCTGCTAGAAATTATACTTACGAAAACTACAGTTCTATGTGACAGCTGAAGAAGAAAACAGGATAAAACTGCCAAATCTTGCTATTCTAAAAATAGCTACAAGCCTTTGTTACCTTTGTTACTGGGGCTTCAAAGTTTTGGCATCTGCTGTGTGACTGGTCAAAACACACTGTATAAACGAACCACTCGATAAAATATAACATAAAAACAGTCAACAATTCAGGGCTATGAACGTAGGGTGCAACATTTAAGTTAAATTTCAGATTCTTAAAGTACATGAATAAAAGAAGATAATTTAAAACTTGCAAATTATTTTGAACCCTTGACTAGAATGTTTCACTGTCACCTATAATCACATAGTATAAAACCATCTCATACAGCTTTAACAATGATAATAAATTACACTGAAATACCCTTTAAGTAATTACTACAAAGAAATACGAATAAAATGTAGGCAATTGTTATTTAACAAAATAAACTTTAACACGGATTAAAGTACTCTGTTTATATAAAACTTTGACTAGATCATAGTTTACTGAATTGCCTTATCACAATCAATGGTA